CAAAAACAGCCAGGAAAAAGCACATTTTTTTAGGGATAAAGGAATCGTATAAGGTAAACATATCCAGACTCCAGAACTGGAGGCCTTGAGAAAACCCAAAGCGGGCAGCCAGCACCTTTGTGTAAGAAGGAACGATGTCACTACACCCCACGAGCTTGGAGGCCCTAGGGGTAGCAACACCACCCTCAGCACTACCTGAAATCCCCACACCACTTACTTTGGTTTTGCCTTTGCTGGGAAATTTCAAGGCAGGAGGAGGCTCCTCAGTGCCTCTCTCGACATTGACAGAATCCACTCCGGAAAAATCATCTATCTCTAACCCCACATCCCCCAGGTCAAAATTTTCCTCAACGGACCCATCTTTCATTAGCGAAACGAACGATCCCATGGCTTCAGAGAAAGCAGACATAGCTGGACAAGAATAAGGAAGCTTAAAAGACCTATAAATAGGGAGGACCTCGGAGAAACACTATTTGCGAGCCCAAGGAGCAAGATACCGAAAACCAATGGCGAAAATCCTAACTGTGGAGTAAGGATCCAAGAAGAGAGAAAGATGAGACAGGGGAATACTTCGGCTCCTAGAGCAGCAGAATCGAAAGACCCAAAAATGCCAAAATCACCTCAGACTTGAAGGATCTAGGGCAAGGAGCGGGGGAAAGAAAGGAAAAATGTATCTAACCACGAATTGGTGATGAATTAAAGCTCGAGGAGGGGATTCGAAACCAAATCACGCTAAGCCCCTAAGTCAAAATTGAGGAACCTGTCCCTCAGAGAAAACCCTAAAATCAGCGGCAGAATGGGGAAGATGAAGTCATGAAAGGATAAGGAAATCGAAAAGGATCTGTAAAGTGAGGAGCAAATCGGTGATCCATGGGTATTTAAAGCTAACGGTACCGTGAGCCTCAAAACGGGCAACGTGCACAAGGAACGAGGAAGGAAATGATTACTGACAACCGCTTTAAAAATAAAAAATAATAATAATAATAAATATATATTCCTACGTAAAATTTGAAGTTGCTGATTGGGAAGTCATTACTGTTACATCCTAAGTTCAGCCCTTGCCCAAGCCATCTCGGCCAAGAGCTGGGGGACAACTGATGATACTCAGAATGATTTTCGAGTAAGAGCTCGGAAACGGAGGTCAAACATGGAGGTCAGATATGCTGAGCTCAAAAAATCAGAGCTATGCAGAGCTCAAAAAATCAGAACTAGAGCTCTCCTCAATCAAGATAATAAGCTGAAGTAATGAGGAAACAACTAGATACTACAAAGAACTCGACAGACAGTTTGAAGTAGCACTCAAGACACAAAATTTTCAACCAACCAAGATACTCTCCTAAGATTAAAGAGAATTCATCGGATAGATGACAAGTATCACGGATCAGATCCCATAGATTAAGGGTCACCCCTATAAATACTATGTAACGCCCCCAACACAGGGACAAAACCCTAGTATCACATCTTACATTCTGTGAACCTTTTGATATAGTAAATAGTGAAGAAAAGAGCAAGAATCTCCATTGAAGAGTGTATTAGCTGAGCTCCTGAGCTGGTGAATCATTATATTTCTACTGTGTTAACTCCCCAACAATTCTCAATATTATTCCCTCAAGTCTAATAACTCAGATCCCAATAATTTCAATATTATTTTTTTCATTTAGTCGTCATCACAAAATTACATCACGTTGAAATACACCATCAATATACATACTTTCTAAGGATCGGAAGCAACCACGTTAATGATGTTTAGTCCGTGCGCTAATTACAACTTTGATAATCATTTTGGAAAATCAGCTCTACGTCAAATAGTGGATTGTGACTTTTTTCAAACATGTCACACTGCCTTTATAGACGGTGAACCAAGGGACAAAATCGATAATAATTGAGAGAGAAATTGACTTACTCAGAGATGAGCTCCCTGTTAATCCTCGATTTGGCTGCAACTGTAGTGGTAGAGGCTAGTTTTAGCTGTGGGAGTAAACGGTGAACGGAGGCTTATAAACAATGAAACCTGATTTGATGAACGGAAGCTAGGGCTGGAAAATGATGAGACCACTGACTCTGATGGACAGAGAGACGGTGAACGAACAGATCTGGTTGTGAGAGAAGACCGACGGGATTTGGGGGGAAATGAGACCGAAGGATTTGGGAGAGTTTTTTTTGGGGATTTGACAGAGAAGCTTTCATTAACTACACACCTTCCGACACCAGCGTTTAACCAAACCCCGACCATTTCAAAATAGTAAATGTGTAAAAATTAACCACCAGCTTTCCTTTGAGCGGCGTTTACCTTTAAACGCCATAGAGACTTCAGTTTGACTGCTGGCGATCTTCCAAACGTCGCCATACAAACGCCGGCACTACCCTTATTTCTTGTAGTGAGTCTATGAAATCAAAAAATTTATTCTTCTTCCTAACTCCCAATGATTTTTGTCTGAGTATATTAAACGTGTCCCCCTTAAATTATAATTTTTATGTTAATTCAATCCGAACTACCTTATTTGTAGCAATCTAAACCTTTTGTTAACAACCGTCTATTACAAATGAAAGTTTCTGAACGTGCAAGCTTTGTTATTGACTGCTAGCATCTGTGACTACAATTGGTAATTCGTCGCTTTCATTCAAAATAAACAGATAACCATATTCATGCCATTACCAGGTGAACATTACTAACATTAACAGATGAAAATTACTAACATTAATAGGTAAAATTCACCCCAAAATGAGTACAGATAATTATGTAATGACAATTACAGATGAGTACCACCACCCTTATCCAGCTCCTCCTCTCCATTTGAATACAACATCAACCAAATTATAACACAACAAATACCCAATGTCAACCACTAAATTTTCTCTCTTCTCCTCACCCTCCCCTGTTCAGCTTCCATAGCATTCAAATTTTTGAGCAGCCCCGGAATTAATTGTCGTGAGTGCACGCACATTGGTGGGTCTTGCCACATGAAGAAACCATACCCTGCATTCTGCGAAAAATGGAGCATTCAAATTATTGGGAAGTTATAGAAAAATTGTAAGAAAAATTCTAATGAGATAAAATATGAACCAACCATAGTATTCGGACATGTCAAGAACCTCCGTACTGGGTTTTGATCCGTCCTTGATGTCTTCTTTGAAGTAATCTTGCCAAAGTTAAAGTAGACCACGGTTTGTAGCTTAGTTGAGATGCTCTCTTTTTTCTTTGCAGTCCAATGGAGTAGCAGCTTTTTTTTTAAAAGGAGAATCCTGAAATTTGTTATTTAACCATTCAACCCCTGACATTGAAATATTATACACAAATCCTCTAATATTTATACATATAACAGTTAAACCCTTGCAGTAAATATATCTGTCAATAAATTATATTCAGGCCCTTTGAAGTTTGTAATACTTTAATCAAAAATAAAATATCAAATATTTTAAATTTTACAATTAAATTTCATGTTTTATTGTATCATTTATTGAAATAAAATAAAAAATCAATTTTTTCTTAAAAAATTCAATTTTTTCTTAAAAAATTATAATTAATATATAATTATATTGTTTATTAAAATTTAATTTGGTAGTTTAAACGACCAAATTAAAATAGCAAATTACTACAATTAAAAGCTAAAAAATATTATATCCATTACAGTTTGACCCATTGTTTAATTTTTTAGTTTTACTCTAATAGATAGTATAATTTTATACTAACTATGATTTTTTTTTAGAAAAATTAAATTTTTAATTTTAATTTTATTTTAATAAATGATACAATAGAATATGAATTTTGGTTATAAAATTTAAAATATTTGATATTTTATTTTTGATTGAATTATTTTTTGTCTAAGTATAATATTTTAAATTTAAAAAGTCTAAATATTATGTACTTATAAATTTTAAAGGGATTTAAATATAATTTATTAACTGATATATTTACAACAAATATAAACTTCAAAAGATGTGTACATAATATTTCAAATATTAGAGAAATTTGAATAATTAAATAATAAACTTTATAATACCCCTCCTAAAAAAGAATGAGAAAGGGGCAGAAGCCAACCACGTTAGCCTTGGGAAGAAATTTTGGCGCCTCATATTTTCTTTTCCAAAGTTACCCCTGCACAGTCACATGCCCCTACACGTTTAGTAACTTTTGTCTATGATTTAGACTGTTCTTAACGTAAGGGGGTCAGATTGTTACAAATCAGATAGTTGGAAGGTTCAATTGACGCAAAATTGAGTTTCGAAACTGAATTAACACAAAAATTATAATTTAGAGGCCATTGGTCTAATTTACTCATTTTTGTCATATGTTTGACAGTTATACAAATAATAAAATAAAATCATAAAATAAATAAACTTAACATGTTTATTAAAAATAAATAAATAAATTATAATACCAAGAAATTGCTTTACTATAATTAGACTCTAATTAATGAAAAAATATTTAATATAATAATGACATCATATCATTAATGTTACTTGATGTCACCAATCAATAAGAAATAATCAAGCGAAAGAAATGAACCTCACTCCCATACATACATAGGATAATTCTGGTATAACAAAAAAGAAGTTGTTATAAAATTATGTGGATTTATTTGCTCATATATTAATTTTTTGTTAAGATGTGATAGTAATTGAGAATTATAACATCGTATCATCGTTACATAGCCCAGAGCTGGTCCTTGCACCGCCACCGCCACCGCCACCGCCACCACCACCACCACCACCGTCCCTTCCCCTTACCCTTCCACTACCTCTTCTGCCGACGCTTCCGTTAAAGGTTGTCTGTGTTTTGTTGCGTTGAATTTGAATTTTGGAATTGGAATTTGAAAAGACCTAATCCAAACACTAATTCTCATGCACTTTGGGCTTCGAAAAAAACCGATTCGAGCAATTTCAGACGGCGGAACACGGCATCAGTGAAACAAACACTCATGAACTTGCGCTTATTCCGATCAACTTATTTTACCTCACGTTTACCCAATTTTCCTCTCCAATTTTCTTGTCTGGTGAAGATGAGCAGTGGCATGAACTGGAGTCCCTCCTGTAGATATGCAATTGGCCGTGAACCTGTAACAGTGAGTGTTCTCCTTCAATTTTCTGTATTTTAGGGTTACTTCAATGTGTTATCAGTTTCCAGTTTCAGTTCCAAAATTTGTCCGCCATAGCTTCTCCTTTTTATCTGTCTAATTGCTTATTGGGAGCAAATTCCAACTGCTTACTATGCACCTGATCTTTCTGCAGAATTTCTTAGGTGCAAATATTAGTAATTGCAGTTTGATGCATCAATCTGACATATTTGGCATGGTAATTAATGGTGGGATTCTGTTTTGAAAGGTTTGATATTTTGTATGGTTGGTTAATAATGCTGGCAATGCCCGAGAAATGTAGGCATGGTTAGTCGTAATTTTGGAGATTGTTAATAATGGCAATTTCCAGTCGAATTAGCTCGATGATCATCCTAAGATGGGTATATTTTTTATTTTTTTTTTTTTTGGGATCAGCAGAATACATTGCTGTATTGGAACTGCTTTGTTTAACTGATTCCTCTGAAGATGACACCTGTGGTAGTTATGGCATTTGGTTGTACTTCATAGTTAATTATGCTTGGACCCTTAATTCCCTTCGGATGCATTTTTGATAATGAAATTCCTAATTTTTGAATCGTTTATCAATGCAAACTTACTAGGTAGGACCTGATGGACTTGAAGAATCCCATGTCAAAATGAATACTTCACCGCAGATGACAGTGGAGAATCTGTTGAACCAAGCAAATTCCTTGGATGCTTCAGATCCTGCCAATGAGCAGGAATGGCCTTCTCTTTCTGCTAGTGGTAGTTCTGGTGCAAAGGGTAGAAGAAGAACTAGGATTGACTTGGGAACCCAGCTTTGGCAAAGACCCAAGGACAGAGCAAGAGACAGTCGATCATTACAACACGGAACCTCATTTATAGCAAATTCTACAAGCCATCAGGACGGACCTTCTTTGCCTACAAGATTTGGGAAGAAGCATATGCTTCCTTCCATTCGAAAATCCACACTTAATCAAACGCATCCTGCACATGCATCTGGGAATGAAAATTCAGCTTGTGTCAAGGGTCTACCTGTGGTTCTTCCATTTGATATCTGCCTCACTAAAAGCAGAAATTCTGCCAAGTGCAATGCTTCTCTGTATGCAGAGAGTAGGGACTACCACAATGAGTTGGAGCACTCTAAAGAAGAGGCTGGACAAGTGCTGAGGCCAGGGATGATTCTCCTAAAAAATTATCTTGCTCTCACTGAACAGGTACTGCCTCAGGTCATCACTTTACTTCAAGGATTGATTGAAATATTTGTTGAACTATACCATAACATCTTCAATCATTTCGAAACAGTCCAAAACAATGTTGGAAATATGCTGAAACACCTCGAACCATTCAAATCTCAATTCGATTGGTTTCGCTCTCCTTAGAAATGGAAATGTTTTAGACGTTTGAACCATTTCGAAACAAAATTTTGATCCTTGAATAGATTACATAATTTTTAGCATCACATTTGTCCTTGGAGTAGATCAGCTTTTGTTTGTGTAAATACTCCATATCAATGGCATATACGGTAGTTCCTAACCACAAGGACCAATGCATTTGTTTGAATTGATTAGTAGACCAACGACCCACCTTCAAAAAAAATTGTAATGATAAACCAGAAACCACAAAAAGAAAAAAGCACACATCCATACACACACACAAAAACAAACTAGTATCCCCTCCTTTTTCTTGCTACTAGTTTTTTACTTCGTGTTTTCCCATTCTCTGAGTTGTAGAAATACCATCTGTTTCTAGGATATGTTGATATTGATATGCCAATATCTTCAGATAATGATACTTTCACATTTCATACTTGTCTATATGTTTTAGGTTGAAACCGTAAAGAAATGTCAAGAATTAGGTCTTGGCCCAGGAGGGTTTTACCAACCTGGTTACCAAGATGGGGCAAAACTTCGTCTACAGATGATGTGTCTTGGTCTGAATTGGGATCCTCAGACAAGAAAATATGAAGACCGACGCCTAATTGATGGTTCTAAACCCCCTGGTATTCCTCATGAATTTAGTTTGTTGGTTAAAAGAGCAATGACAGATTCTCATGACCTACTCAAAAAGCACTGCAGAATAAGTGACGCAGAGGACATAATTCCTCAGATGTCTCCAGACATATGCATAGTCAACTTCTACGGAACCAGCGGGCGACTTGGTCTCCATCAGGTTGGTATTAACCTTTCATATAATAGTCTTAGCTGCATGAAAAAAGAATTACTTCGGCAACATTATCCAGCGAGTGCCTCTCTTTCACACGAATCAACGGTTATTAAATTTTCCTGCTCTTTTCTTGGTTGAAAGATTCCATAGACATAGGGAGTTTATAGTTTCAGACTGCCTAGTATCATAATTAACTGATATCCAGATTTTGTAAAAGGATGTTTGGAAATAATAATGGTATTGGTATTGTTATCTTTGGACATTACACATATATTGAATTAGCCCACTGTTTCCCTACTGTGTTTTGCATTTAAGTTATGCATAATGCAATTTTTTGATGAATGGAACCATCCTATAAAAATTGTCAGCATCATCACATTTCAAAGCGATTTAACACAATTCCTGAAACTGGCCCTGGACAGCTAATATTCATGATGTGTTTAACCTTTATAGAGGCCCCACTTGAAATGCTAGTGTATGGCTTCCACACTATGTAAAATAGTAGAGCTATCTAGTTCCTATGGGACATTAAAACATGTCATAGAATGAGTTAGTATTGATATTGGCACACATTTTAGATCCTTCCCAGCTGTGTTTTTTGTTGTTTAGTTTGCAAACCAACATTGGCTTGAGCAAGACATCTAGTGTGACAGGGAAGGAGCATATGTGTTGACCTTCATTAAATTTCCATTTGTATTAGGATGTTGTTGTAAAAACTCAACGTAGGTTTAGATCTATTGCAATAGAACTTTCTACGATTCGGTTTTGGATAGACTTTCTTTACCTGTGAAATTAAAACTATAAGCAGCTCTAAGAGCCCTTTTGTGCCATGTGAATGTAGGATCGTGATGAAGGCAAAGAAAGTCTTCATAAAGGACTACCTGTAGTCTCCTTCTCTGTTGGTGACACGGCAGAATTCTTGTATGGGGATCAGAGGGAAGTTGATAAGGCAGAGAAAGTGCTACTGGAGTCGGGAGATGTATTGATATTTGGTGGCAAAGCTAGACATATTTTCCATGGAGTGTTGTCCATTATTCCAAACTCAGCTCCTCGTGCCCTGTTGGAAGAAACAAATCTCCGCCCTGGTCGTCTCAATCTTACCTTTAGACAATTCTGATAAAGTGCTGTTTACAATAGAGTTTCCATTTAATGGTGTCAACTGTCAAGTCAACATAAGAGAATCGCCATCCCCTGTCAACGGTTCAATGTAAGTTGTATGTAGACAACTTTAGTTCACCACAATTAGCATTTTGATCTTAGATAAAAGAATATTTTGAATATTGTTGAAAATTCAGACCAGGAAAAGATGATGATGATGATGATTTTGATTTTGATTTTAATTTTGATTGTAGTGATGCGTTGATTTTATTATAATAATCGAGAAAATTGATTTGATTGTTGAGAAGATGTGGATTCTTGATGGATTGAATTGCTCACAAGTAGGAGTGTCAAAATATAACACGACATGAATATGACACAAAATTAAAGGGTATGAGTCTTCCTTGAGTAACATATTTTGTAAACAAATGGTCCCAAAATGACACGATTAATAAATAAATGGGGTATGAGTGAAGCTAACAACACGACTTGTTTATGTATTAATCATATACAATTCATATACGAGATAAATCCGATATGACATGACTCATTAGACACAAAATAATAGACAAACTGGATATGAATAAAATATTTTTTGATACAAACTTATTAAGACCCGACAAAATTGACCGGCTTCCTCACAAGACAAAATGAAAATAATTTCACATCACATCTTCTTAGCAACATGAAAAGGATGTAACGATGGACAAATTCGAGAATGATGAATTGCATAGAATTATATCGTTGAAAAGTGACAGGGACCTAAATCAATTGGAGATAAGAGGCATCACTCGTCCTTCTCGCCTCCTAGTTATATTCTATTCACCTTTCCTCTAAATTTTGTCCTTCGTTTATGGACCTACTAGATCTCCATTGCTTGTTGCTCTCATTCTACGGCTGACAATTTCTTTCGATCGAAGCAATAGTTATTGCCGTTGATGCGACGCGAATCGATTAGCAGTTGATTCATTATCAGCTCCAACAAAGAGAAACAAAAATCATGATGATGAGGGAACTTAAAACACTGGTGTACATGTCAGGATAAGGGAGGGGATGGAAGTAAAAATTGAAAAAAATTTCGAGCCACCTAAGGCTGCATCATCAAGTTTAGCAAGATAATATTCCATGTGCCTATAATATGCATAATGATATAGTAGATATGTCCTTGCTCTTACCAACACAGGTGGAATATTATTAAATTGCTCCTTCAATGATGGATGTTTATGTATCCTTGCCCTTGTTATTTTATTTTATTTTTTTTGGTGGGTGGGGAGGGGGGTAGTGTATTCTTTCCCTCACATGACTTTTATATTTGTTGAATTGATTAGTTTATGTCTTATTTTAGTGAGTTTTAAGATATATAAAAATTCAGGCGTCTTAATTTTGAATTTTAGCAATCTTTTATGGTTAGGTTATGAGGGATTTATCTCTCAATAATACCATAATTTTAGCGTGTATGACCTACTTTTGCCTGGAATTGGGAGCGAATTAGTCGAGATACACGTAAATTAATCCGGACATCCCTAACCGTTGAAAAAAAAAAATAAATATACAAAAACCAATTATTAGGGTTGTAAGCCCATTGCGCACTAGCTGTAACAGAAGCAATCAATGATGGGCTTTTTCAATTGGCTTTCTCACTCGGTAAAGTTTATTAAAACTTACTTTAAGAGAAAAATTATGTCCTCAGGTGCTGCCCACTTTATTATAAAATACGTAGGTGTTGGTTCACATCTCTTGGGATCAACAGATATCTTCAAATTAAAAGACAGTTATAATAGAGTAATTCTGAACAGACGGAGTAAAAATATAGAATTGATAAAAAAAAAAAATTCATTCATTAATTCTATCGAATGAACTTTGATTACAAAAGAGATTGAATTAACAGCCTAGAATCTATTACCAATGATGTCTAGAATATACGTTAACACTATTATTAGTGATGCCTAAATTTACGGGTTTGAAAACGTGTTTTCCTTCTATCATTATGATTTTTTTTTATAGTCATTCTCTTCGACGGTTGTTCTTTCATCGCCAGTTACTTAATACTTTCAACAAACAAAATGTGCTTTCTTTTGTTCAATATCCATGTGGAAGATTTTGAAGAGCTCTTAACGAAGAGTTTTGGTAGCCATTAAAATATGTGGCCTACCTTGTTTTGATATTCACGAAGCCTAATGTCATTAAATTAATTCAGCAAGGATAACAAAACATATTATAATGAATGGCAGCCACAGTGGTAGGTGGGATAAACCTCAAGGGCAGGACAGTTCAAGTGGTAAATAGGGACGAGTTGTATATTTAAACGTCATGAATTTAAATTTTGGTAATTTATTGAGGTTAAATCATCAGAGATTTATTCCTCATAAATTTCTTAGTTTCAGCGTGAATGACATGTGCGTAAGTAACTCGAACGCTCCCGCCTGTTGAACAAAAAAAAATAGTTTTACGCTCACCTCAAACATTCCTTGTTCGTTGAACCAAAAGAAAAATGGTAAGTGGATTAGCACCCAAAAAAAAAAAAAACACAGAAGTGGGCATCAATAACTTTATAAAAATGAAACAAGGATAAACAAGTTCAATACGAAACATATCGACCAAGAGACAAAATTAATGGAATTCCAGCATGGTACAACACTTAGAGTATAGTTAGTGCGTCATCTCATAATTAAATAATGGTGTTGGAGAGCCAAGATGTCCAATGAACACACTTTCATTATTATTATCTTGTTGATCGGTGAAAATTTTATTATTTGCTAATACCATTATTGCTACGATGACTCCAAACAATAGCCACAACTTTAAATTACATTGTGTTTCTGAATATATTCATACAATAAAAATGATGAAACGTGATGATGTGACACTATCATGTTAAAGCCAATAGGAATGAGGTTATCTATCTATCTATATATATATATATATATATATATATATATATATATATATATATATATATATATATATATATACACTAACTTATCCACTCCATCAATTGGAGGTGGTTCAAGAAGATGACCAAGTACATTTGAAAGTGATATGCGCTATCAATCGATGTATATATTTTGGAATTCTAGTCACCTACATCACGATGAATTTGTGAAGATAATTAATGTATTAATATATTAGGTTATACATTTACGTGTAGATACGTTAAATAAGATAAATTCTTCGTAAAGTCCAGAATACCTAACATAATTTAAATAAATTAGGCAAAGAGTACCCAACAAAGCCTTCAACATAAATCTAGTCTACTAATGTAAATTTTTTTTTTTTAATTACTAATGTAAATATTTACTTTCATAACGGAGAGTCTGCGTGAAAAGGAAATTGCTTCCATATCACAAGACATATGACTAATCACCCACCCAACACATGGTTTAAATAAATTATTGGCATATATAATTGCACTTCCCTCACAAACCGAAGGGTAAAGATCACAAAAAAAGTACATAGAAGTTCAAAAGCAGCTTTCCTCCCATAATTCAATGCCTGCTGGTCCTATTGTTGAGAAGTTGCAAGTGCGGGTGAAAAGAGATTGACATACGTGTTTATGTTAAAACTAATCAAAGATAATGAATAAAATAAACAGATGGAATGAAAGAAATTTGAATAACCTATTAACGAAGAAATCAACTAGTTAGACAGAGAGTACGTGGATAGAGCAAAATACTCTCACCAACTAAAAATCTCATATCTCCTGTAGTAGGCAAACAATATCAATATTTATAACACAGTGTCCAAACAATTTGAGTTGCCTAAAGGGTTGCCCGCCGTGACCCTCTAACACGCACGCGAATTCACAATTGCCTCTATCGTGAGGATATCAGTAGTTGCTAACTACGAGTCACATGTCCTGATATTAACTAAGTAGAGGTGACGTTTTTTCAAACACAGTTTAGACGTGAGCCTCGAGAAAGAATATGACAGTTGAGGCGAAAGAGAGTTTCCATGGTTAATGATTATCACTGGTTATTGCGGGACCGTGACCTCAAGAAGGCCACGTCCGTGATGCCCTCAATATGCTCTTACTCAAGATCTTCCATTCCCTATCTAAATTCCTCCTCGAGATCTTAGTCAAGATGTCCAATAAAGGAAACGCACACAATTTCGATCCTTCAGCTATCAATCCATATGTCTCATTAACTCGTATATTAATTTGAATCAATGCAATTACCTTAGGAGTCCCTTCGAATTCCAGTCAAACACGTTGCAATGGACAGTGAGCCATACATTAGGAGTTCTCCTCAAGCAGATTAAACTTTCGAGATCCTACCCCAGGCTGAGGTTGACAATCATGCTCGTCCGCTCCCTTTGCTCAATTCTCCCTTGAGAAGGGTCATACTACTCTGTCTCTAGATGGGGACCCCTTCTCTTAGTTCACTAGATCAGTTGAGCAACAATATCCAATAGGTTAAGAATACCAATTATGCAATTCCAGCCTTGTGTCTCATTTTCGCAATGGGGAAGGCAAGTCACGTCAAGGTTGCCCCCAGACCTTCACAACGCCACTCTCGTTTGTCATTAGTAAATGGTCCATTTTGTCACTTTCAATGAGATGAGGACATGTTCCGCCTTTCTGCAGCACTAGGTGCCTACCGCAGCACTGGTTGTCTGTCGCAGTGCTAATGCTGATGTGGCACTATTTGTCAGTACCAATCTTTCTAGATTTTATTTAATTCTTGTCACTTGTCATTCTATGGCATAGACACGAATTCTGAATTTATCAGGTACTACAGTTGACATACAAGTCTCTCTATCTATCTCTGAACTCAAGATATAGTCCCCTCATGAGAGATGCAACAATCTTAGAAACATCCCATCCCTATGCTTGGGCCTCATTCATGAAGGGATTTTCTCCCCATTGCCTTCGGTTGCCTAAGAGTGGGGATTGTCACAGGCGACACCAGCATACATACATATATGTATTAATTACCACTATGTGGACCTTAAAATTTGGTTTGTATTGGCAAAAAGGACCTAAATTGAATACATGTCAGATTTGGGGGAAGGTTGAGGGATGCAATTACTGTGAAATGAGGGGTCAAACCAGAGTTAATCAAATGTACGATATGTTAATTCAAGTTCAACAAAAACCTGAATCTAACTTGAAACGTATTGTCTGAAGTTAGATTGAACTCAAATTATGCAATTCTCCTAGCATTCTTTTTCGGCTTTTGTGTCAAAATTTGAGTGTCATTCAGTTCATAGAGTCTAAGTCAATAATGGCAAGATAGTGACATTCATTGATTCTTTATATAAAACAGCCACCCCATTACTATTTTTTTTTTAAAAAAAAAAAACACCATTACAATTTATTACCCGACATACTAATTAGAAAATCTTAGGCACTGATTTTGTATGGATTGAGATCCTCTTTAATATATGTTTTTAAAATTCTCGTATAATCTATCATTAATGGATCTGATTATGGTACCATCAAAAAAAATTGGTACCATATATCTAGAATTTACTACTTTCAAAAAGTATTTTAATAATATTTATATTTTATTTTACAACAAAAATATTTATTATTTTTGTGATTAATTTATTACTTTTATAAGTATTTATACCACTATTTTGGTATTTTATCACATTTGTGGTAATTATTTTTACCAATGTTCTTTAGCACAAAAAAAAATTATCATTTTTGTAGACAATTTATCACTTTTGTGGATATTTTTATATGTTTTTACCACTATTATACTAATTATTTTTCTCATTTTTTTGGTTACTACAACACTGATAAAAGCACCTATAAATATAGTAAAAAAAATTACATATTTGATAAATTGAGGGATAGTATTGAATTTTTTTTTCTAGTACAGTTGTCAACTCTATCATTAATAAGTAAGGTATCTAGTTGTACACAATAAACTCGTTGGTTATCGTATTATAAAAAAATTGATTGGATTAAGTAATTCAAGCTAAACAAAATATAAGATTAAATAAGAGACATAAATACTATTTTTTGTAATCAAGTGTTTAGTAAGATACTAGGCTAAGAATGAAATAATAAAATACTAATTATATATTGATTAAAAATTATTAATCTAGTTTAGTTATTCATATTTTTTTTATTGAATAAAATAGTAAATTTATAGCCTAATTAGCCTCAAGTGTATTATTCATATATATATATATACACTAAGGTTATATATAGTACGAAGTGTTTTTTATAATCAAATACAATATAAGATTGGATTAAAGAATTTTAATATATTATGGTTATATAATTTACCCTTTAATACTGCGACTAAACTACTTCAATAGGGCTTACTTAAATACATGATTAGTGATCCATTTAAAAGAGAATTAAAGACAAAACATATTAGGTGGAATTTGTGGTGATGAATGAATGTCGCTGGCTGCCCAATAGTTTAAAGTAATTTAGGCACACACCTGTCATATGGGTCTCATTTTAGGTAATGGTGAGGATGTTTTTTAATGTCTAGAGAGAACAGATGATGGCGATTAATTATGAATTAATAATTATGAATTTTTTTTAAAAATTTGAATTTAATCTAATTTATTAATTGGATGATTTGTCCGATACAGTAATATTATGTGCATAAGCTTATTTTAGAAATTTTTTACTAGGAATTAAAAATCAGATTTAATTAAATATTTTAATTCTGTGATAATTGATTACCATATATTAATGAGGATGTTTTGGTAGTGCCTATTTTATTGGAAAATTTCTGAAAATAGTATCATTTCTCATTAATTGAAGAAATGACACGTCACGGATCTCCCTCTGCCGCTCTCTGCGTAGTTGGTCGTCTTTATATATGCTTCGTCTGAATCTTGTTTGCATATCCTCTCTCTCTTTCTCTCTCGGTCCCTCTCTTTTACCTAATCAACACACCTGCATTCTGGGAATCAACGGGAAAGAGCAGAGAGAGAGAGAGAGAGAAACATCTAAACAAACAAGCAGAAGAAGGGGAGAGAAAGAAGCAATAAAAGATGCAGAGAGCTGTGATGAGAAGGGCTTTATGGGGAAGAGAATTTCAAGGTTGGCGTCGATGCTTGTCTCAACTAACCCAAAAGGAGGCCTCTCTACCAGAGGATGGCTTCGTCATTCCCAAACTGCCCCCATTCGACTATTCTCCTCCGCCGTACGTCGGACCCACCGCCGATCAGATATTGAGGAAGCGAAACGAGTTTCTCAGCCCTTCTATGTTCTATTTCTACAAGAAACCTGTGAGTATCCACACCTCTTTCACTCCCTATCTCATTAACCCCCCCCCCCCCCCCCAAACAATTGTTTTATTAACAACTAACAAGATCACATTTTCAGACCTTCCGACAAAAAAGATCACATTTTTAGTATTTTTAACGATTTATGATGATTCGTCAATATTGTCAAATATAATCTGAATCTCTCATGCTGGGTTTCATTTTTTTTTTTTTTACATTTTTTATTATTTATTTGCAAAGCTTAATTGGTTTGCAGTTTCTTCATTGTCATCTTGTGTGTTTCTCTGCAATATATTATATATTTATACATATAGATATACTCTTTCTTAATGTCATCTTGATGGTGTGAAGTGTCTGTTAACGTTGTCCACAGCTGAACTTGGTCCATGGCAAGATGCAGTACTTGTTTGATGAGAGTGGGCGTAGATACCTTGATGCATTTGGAGGAATTGCTACGGTGTGTTGTGGTCACTGTCACCCTGATGTGGTGCAGGCAATTGTCAAACAAACCAATAACTTACAGCACTCCACTATTCTTTACCTCAATCATGCCATTGCAGACTTTGCTGAAGCATTGGCCTCCAAGTTGCCTGGAGATCTCAAGGTGGTCTTCGCAATTTTCTAATAAGAGGATAACAACAACGTAAAATAACTGAATCGGATGCAAGTTTAATAGAGACATGATGTGATAAAATTTCAATGGTTTTTCAGGTGGTGTTTTTCACCAACTCTGGAACAGAAGCAAATGAGTTAGCGATGATGATTGCACGGTTGTATACTGGGTGCCATGACATCATATCACTGAGGAATGCGTACCATGGGAATGCAGCGGGGACTATGGGTGCCACTGCACAATCTAACTGGAAATTTAATGTTGTGCAGGTATGTACCTTATTTACAGAATTAATATGCAAGAGTATAAACGGCCTTGTCCATTAATGGTAGGAAGTCCAACCCTAACAATAATGTTGTGACAATAAACTTGTAGCCCAATTAAATCGTTCAATATAATTGTCGATTGAGTAGCATAAGAGCCAGCATCGTACTAAATTGATTTGTAACCTTAGGGTCATTCTCTTGGGAAGATTGTGGTAAATCTTCCATAGACACCTAAGTAGTTTTGGATCAAGACATGTAATCTGCAGGATGCATTGTGGAGCCAAGTAATTATATAAATTAGCATCCACTAAGTGCATTTGTGTATTCAAGACCAACTTAGCTTCATGTTTTTCTTATTGGTTTGGCCAATAGAGTGGAGTTCATCATGCCGTGAACCCAGACCCATACAGAGGCATCTTTGGTTCAGATGGTGAACAGTACGCAAAAGATATTGAAGACCTCATTCAATTTGGAACTTCTGGCCGTGTTGCTGCATTTATTTCTGAAGCTATACAGGTAAGCCGTACCTAATTGCAATTGATTTCATCTCATCTTTTCATTATTTCTAATCAAGACCATCTTTTCATTCTTTCTCATTCAAACTTCTTTCTTATATGGTAGGGAGTGGGTGGTATTGTTGAATTGGCTCCTGGTTACATGCCTGCTGCCTATAGCAGTGTTAAAAAAGCAGGAGGCATTTGTATTGCCGATGAGGTCCAATCTGGTTTTGCTCGCACAGGGAGTCATTTCTGGGGATTTGAGGCCCATGGAGTTGTGCCAGACATAGTGACAATGGCCAAGGTTTGCGTTCTCATCTAGTTTCACAGATATCTGAAAGACCATCAGTTGCCACTAGAACTCTGGCAATTATGTAAACCATAAACATTCCTCGCATCTGCTTAAAAAATTCTTTATCTCACTAACATTAGAATCCGTCTTTAGTTGACATTTTACCAATGTTGCATTTTGGCCATACAATCATGTATTAAGACTGGACTGGAGGCAGAATTCGAGTAATGTTTATATGAATGTTTGGTCTGCAGATACATTCCTTATTGCTATCATACGAAAATTTTCTATCAAAATTATTCTGTTCTTTCCTTTTTTTCCCCAAACTCGAATCACTAGAGAGCAATATTTTTCAGTAAGATATGATAAGCTCCTTATTTCACATAAATGCAAATTTTCCATGCTTCCAATTTTGGCTTTGCAAGTTCATTTTTGTGCTACTTGGTGTCAACAGGGCATCGGAAATGGGATTCCCCTTGGTGCTGTGGTAACTACTCCTGAGATTGCACAGGTCTTGACGCAACGCAGTTACTTTAATACCTTTGGAGGAAACCCCGTATGTACTGCCGCAGGGCTTGCTGCTCTCAGAGTGATTGAGAAAGAAAAACTTCAGGATAATGCACATGCCGTGGGATCCTATCTGAAAGGACGCCTCAATACCCTCAAGGATAAGCATGAAAGTAAAGTTTCTCCCCTTTTCCTTTTTATGTTATAGTAATGAATCACTTTTGCAAGTATCCTTTATCATTCTGGACCCTTTCAAATTGCTGTTAAGAGTCTTTGTACGGCTTTCTCAATGAACTTGAACGTCTTATGACTTATGGTGACATTCAACTTGGTAGCATCAATGGTTCTATGCATTTAATGTTTTTCCTTTCCCTGCCAATCTACACTCAATCAGCTTTTGCAACATGATCTCCTGATCTATCATATTGCTATCTGCAGTTATTGGGGATGTGAGAGGAAGAGGATTGATGCTTGGAGTTGAGCTTGTAACTGATCGGCAATTGAAAACTCCTGCGAAGGTTGAAATTCTACATGTGATGGAGCAGATGAAAGGTACTTGTTTCTGTCTTCTCCATGTTTATCTTTGCGTTAAACTTACTTTTAGCCTCGATTAAACCACGCATTCTCATTGTAGACAATGGAGTGCTGATCGGCAAAGGTGGATTCTATGGCAATGTTTTCAGAGTTACACCTCCACTCTGCTTCACTAAGGAAGATGCAGGTAAGTTTTAACTTAGGTTATGTCGGTGGTGGCATGTCATTCCAAACATTTCAATCAAATTTGTCTCCCCCTTGTCCTACTTCATTAACTAATTTGGACCCTCATGATCCTCTGATTTCTTTGGTTTCAGACTTTCTTGTGGATGTTATGGATTATGCAATATCAAATACGTGAAGACTTTTGCGTTGTAGTCCACACAGGAGATTGAACATCAAATCCACTTCTCTGATCTTACTGTGGATAAAGATGTTCATTTCATTGTTAATCATGGATGTGGCACACCTTTATATAGCTATTGTCAAATAAATTATCAATGTAAATAGGCCTCTGCATCATTATACTGCAGTAACCTTATGGTTATACTTTGAATCAACTCCTCGTTGATTCTTTGATGTCTTCATTTTTCCTGTCTTATAATGAGTCAACGAGTTGTTGTCTCTCTCTATCTCTCTCCATCTCTCATGGATTTCCTTAAGTTGCTGTGCCTTGGTACTATTTTTTTTTTTGCTAATTTATAAGTAGTGGTACTTAAACGAAGAGAGTTTTCCGTAGATCATAAGGTAGGGACTAGGGAGTGTCACATGCTACTTCTGCATATAGTTCTAGCACAGACATGTTCTGTGTATTCAGGGTATTTGTAGAAATTTTGTTGCATTAAGTGAATTTGAGATAATGTAGTGAGCGATTGGATTAGAGAGTAGTGTTTGTGTGCAGGGGGGATTCCAAAAGACATGCTTTGAAGGGGGTTGCTATTGTGTGGGGTTGGGGGGTTGTCATCATGGGAGGGAGTCTGCTTCGTGTTGGGTGAGGATAGGGGTTGCAGATTGCAGGTGGGGGTATGGTGGGGGGGGGGGGTGTCAGTCCAGAAACTGGAGGGAGGTAGGGTGTGAGGGTGAGGCAGATTACTCCAAAACATCACTGATACTACATGTTAGTGGTATAGTTGAGACTACTAAAGAGTATGCGTGGGAGTAAATTACACATAAGCATGCCTTTGGCACAATAATGGGTGTTTGTCACAATTAGCTAGATTAGCACATACAAGATTGGGTGGTGGCTACAGTTTGATACTAATAGACATTATTTTAGTCTAGTCCATGGATTGGAATACTTTGTATTACTCAATTTCTCTCAATGGTATATCATCTTTTGTATGTTAGTATGGGATTCACTTGAATTAGGATAAATATCTACTATTGAGTGAAATTCAATAAAAGGGTAATGAAAGGATATGAATCCTAATCAAGTACTTATGTTACTATAATTCTGTTTGACAAAGTAAGCCTGTCTCCCAAAACACCTTCTCTTAGAATCCACTCCGGGTCAAAGGAACAGCTAGCCCAACTTCTTGAGCATCCGAGATATTGAATAATGAACATTTGATTGAATTTCTTACCCCTCATCATTTTAGTGAAGTTTTCACATAACTTTTATCATTCCCTTTCCGCAAGTGTACTAAAAGTTTTTGAAAATGGATGCTCAAAGCAACAAAAAATATGGCAATATCTACCTACACTAGTATTAGCTATTAACTCTTGGTAAAAATAGATATATCTTCAATAAAATTTAAGATCTTAATCAATCAAACGAAGATAACGCCACAAGAAAAAAAAAATTATTGTTTTTTTTTAATTTTTTGGTGCAAATAACAATGTTATTGCTTTGAAACAGCAGAAATAAACATTAAAAGACCTTCTATTAAAAAAAAACAAAGAAATATCTTGAAAGAACCACCCTGCACCAATCATTATTCACCATTAACAGTGAAGAAATCACATAATTATTAAGGCATTCATAACATTCTTAGAAGGATAACTAGCAAATATTCTAAACCTTCACTTACAGCAATCCTTTCAGCAGCACAAAAATGGAGATTTACCGACCATGTCGACGAACATACATCGATGACATAGGCGAGTACCGGCTAGAAATGGCGTTAGATCGTCGAATCAACACGCTGGAAAACCGCAGCATTGGATTTAGAATGGAGACTAGGTCTGTCAGCAAGTATACCAGTTCAGGAAATATGATCAGGCTCTTTCGTAGAACTACACTTAACAAAATATATAATGCATCCTTGAATCTAGCCATTGTTCCACTTCTCTTTGGTTCTAAAACTTCTGATATGATCAAATCTCAGACGTTGTTCTCTTTCTTATACAGTATACAATGTAATAGTCAACATTGTACTTACCGAAATACCCTTTAGTTCCCCCTTAAGTTACCAATAATTATTAGGACCGATGGTTCCGGCAGAGATGAACCTTGGTATCCGAAAAAGCGGGTGAACGTCCAGAGGTCATTTTGATAGGTTTTTATTAGTGGGATTATAAAATCCTTGAATATGCCTATTACTCTTCTCAAAAATAAACTTAACATAACGGTCAATTATCAAGTCTCAATGTAGAATTTAATATTAAAACCTTCAACTTCAAGGTGAGAAGTTTGATCAGTATCTTACTGGACAGCCTGACTCGATTGTTTTTAATTATTAATTTGAAATAACTATTTCAACTACCTCCTTTTGATCATTAATCTGAATTAACTATCTTCTGTTGTTGATGGTCATTTTAATGCTTCAAATTCATGAAAAAAAGGGAATATTTACACCACTTTTGAAATCTATCCTCGCATAAAAATCATATCTTGGTTCTCGTTATGGGATGGGCATAAGTTTCGGTCCACCATCGCATTCATTTTCACAAGAATTTATATAAATATTTTTGTATATACCCACTGTTCAATACATATGATTCATCTTTAATTCAAACAAATTTTTATTTTTTCTTGGATCCACTGTTATCGCTACTTTGGAAGCAAAAAAACAGTGTAGGTAAGGTTAATTAATTTTGTGGTGAAGTGGGGCCAGTGTTGATTGTCAGAGAACTAGTACATTAATATAACTAATGAGGACACTATGGATTCATGCAACTCAGCCGAAAGAGTGGGACTTTCCTATGTTTGGCCCCTTGGATATCTAATTCCGTTGGGCCCCTGCGAAATATGTCGACATGTATGTCCACTTGTGAGTAAAGTTTGGTGCTCAAGAAGTACACGTAACCTTAAAAGAGTTTTAATTTAGGTAACATAACATTTCTCTTATTTGAAAGATTAACTTCGGTTGTCAAATCACCCTTACCCATGTAAGATTCGGCTGATTGATTCGTTGTGGCTGTAATTACTTCTCATTGCTTGCAGTAGTCGAATATGAAGCTCATTGCACAGTTATCACAATATTTGGCATGGTACTGGCTACAAGACTTATGAAAATCCCTTTTACGGCCGACACAGTTTCTCTAATTGAAATTTTTAACTTTGATCAACCTTAAATTCTTACCTGTACCTGGACGTTGCATTCACAAATCAAGTAACTAAAATGTTGTATTGTGATAGGCAAACTAGAGGATCAACAGAGACATTGACAATCACAAGCAAACCAAATGCGTAGAATTGGGAGTCTTCAAATTCAAATGCCAAATAGTGGCATGGACTACACAAATGAAGATAGCCATGGCAAACCTGAAAGTATAGTATCTATCTAAAATAAATACAAGAAAACTGGACAAAAAACAGATATACAACATAACTGACAACTACCACTTCCTGCATGAAATTTCTACTGTATCTGTACGTGGAAAATGAGCTCTCATATAATTGTGCAATGAAGAAATTCACTTCCTTCCACCCACCATACTTTGGTTATTAGTTCCTGATAACCTTGTTTCTGATAAGCTTGGAGATGTATTGCTTGTCTTCTTGAAGGTTGCATCCGCACTGCCAAGGACGTTAAGATCCTCAAATAATCTGTAGGAAGGGATGAAGGGTTTGTGTCCTGCTGCAGGGCCAGTCGTCCTAGGGCTGGAGCCCACCTGTGGACCTCCATTGATAGCTGATCCATTGCTTCCTCTTGCAGGAAATGAGTTGACATGCTGCAATGGACTGGTCGCTTGCAATTGCATTTGTGATGTAGCTGTGGTTCGTGGAGTTGGATATGCATAAGGATATGTAGGTATAGGATTCTGGCTATTGTAATACCCAGGAGTTGCTGCCCATGGTGGAGCGGGGTATCCAGATGAATACTGGGGATGTTGAGTTTCAGGCTGTGGTAGCGGTTGAGTTGGGCCTTTTGGCTGAGGCTGAGGCTGAGGCTGTGCCCAGGGAACAACATAGCTGTTGAAAGCTATCTGCCCCTGGTTTCCACCATATGTCTGGAAAGTATTTGGATATCCTTGGGTAGTCGTAGAAACAGGTGACCTATGCATGTTTTGTGTAGAGTCATCTGGAGTTTGTGAAGTGTGAGGAGAAGCTGGAGTTTGTGAGGTGTGAAGAGAAGCTGGAGTTGTCGACAAGGTAATACTCAAAAGGTCTATTATATCTTGCTCTTTCGTGGTCCTAACAGGTGCAGGTGGATCAGCCAGCACTAATGCATTGCTCAAAGCTGGGGCTGGGGATGCTGATGTAGACGACATATTGCTGCTAGTGTTCACTGAGATAACTCCACTGGTTCCTGTAAACGTGTTCAGAGAAGTAGGGGACCGTGTTTTGGAATGCCTGCACCCATGAAACAAAATGTTTATTACGAACCAGAGTCAGGATGGATAAAAACTATTCCAGCACATTACATAATAACTGAAAAATTGTTCAGGCTTCCACAAAGACAATTGGTGGCCTTGATAACCAATACACCAACTTTGACCTATCCATCCGTAGTGGCCCAGCTAAAAGATACAACCGGCATCGATATGATCCATTCCTATATTCCATTTGCCTTCACAGTGAACGAGCAGATATCACCATTCACACATCTTCACTACATTGTAGATGACCAGGCTAAGGAACAGCACAGTGACCAGATAATCATCACTTAAACTGGCATGTGTCATATGTGCTATAACATAATACTCATGGAACTGAAATTTATATAATAACTACAGGAATTTCCGAAAAAGAACTTGAAAATGAAAAGCAACCTTCTCGCCAGCTGTGCAAAGTCATCTTCCTCCTCATCCTCTTCCTCAGCCTGGCCCCTTGGCATAGGAACAACTGGTGCAGATGGGACAGCCTTCAGTGCTGGGCTGCTGACATCAGTAGGTTTAACACTTGAGTCACGTACGTCAGCTGACCGGGGGTTTAAATTTGTTACTTGTATCGGTAGGGGTGCACCAGAAACTATAGCATCGTGTTTTCCGAGGACACTTTGCAGCATATCATTTAATTCAAGACCTTGACCAAGAAGTTCTTCATCCCTGCCACAGAAACGAGCAAACTATTGAGAAGTGCAAGCCACACATGCACTAGAAAACATAGAGAGGCTGTTATCTTCTAGGACGATAATGAAAATGAACATAACAAATGCAATTGTTGAGTACTTGGTTATGCGACACGACAATAAAAGAGATAAAGGAAGATACATACATGGTTGTAGCTAACATCTGCATCAGCTTCTTCTGGTTGGCACGACATTGGTCAACAAGATCGACAATAACTTCATCTTTCACAGCCTACAAAAAAAAGGAAACGTGCTATAGTTTTTAGCTGTAATTTAGCATGAGGATAGACTAGAAGACCCAATTAAACATACCATACGGTCACTAGGATTCACAGCTTGCAGCATGTCAGCTAAGAGATCCAGAGCATATCGCATGGAATTAATGCTTGAGAAACTGAAGGATGAGAAAAAATAAATAAATCAAAAGTTATAGAGGCAACCCAAAACAGAAAAAAGGAACCAGTAGAGTGTTGAAACCAAAGTCGAATCGTACCTTAAACTCTCCATGTCAGCTGCCATGGCTTCATCAAGCCGAGTTGAAGAATTGCTTGGCATTCCATAACCTGGTTGAGCATGTCGGAGAGTTTGGTGGGTCACAGGTGGCGTAAATATTGGAGCTGAATCAGATGAACGCTGGGGAAACTCTACTCCAAAACGCTGGCATGAGTTTAGTGACCAACAATTATTGTCAGAAGAACAGAAAAAAGGAAAAATAATATTTCTTGCCAATTATCATGCACCCTGTATTTGAATAAAGATACATAAACTTAATTTAATAAAGACAGATGCAAAATGTAGCATATAGGAGAGTTAGAATACATTCTTAAATTGCAAACAAATTCTGGAGGCCTACCATAGCACATAAAGATGGATAATCCCATTACTGGTCAAATTTTAGAAGTAATTAGCTTTTATGACTTGAATTACATTATCATTTTAATTAGAGTATATCTTGTGCACAAATACCCAAATAACAACAGCAGACTGTAACCCTCTGTCTCAGACTTCAAAGTGTTATTTTACCAACATAACAGGTCATTATATTCTGACATGGATAGAAGTCCATCAATAACCAATCAAGGGAAAACTGTCATTGTCACCACAGAAGACAGCAATATGGATATAAAACAAAAGGAGTTGAAATATATCAAATATACGCCTACCCTCAGTTCCTCATAAGCCCAGTAGTACTGAGGATACTTTCCACCAGGACCACCAAATGCTTCTTGCCAAGAATCTAGCAGTGCCAAGATTTTATCCCTTACATGCATATCTGTCTGCAAAATTCATCCAAATATTTGTGTTTAGAAGCAATGTAGAAGTGCTTAGCAAGAGCTAGTTAGGACATTCAAGGTAAAGTTGAAGTGCTTAGCTAGAGCTACCTAGGACATTCAACTTGTAACATAACAAAACAACAAGAGCAAAACGTTATAATAACCTTCACTACTAACTAAGATAACTCCCAAAATTAAATGTAACAGACCTAGCAAAGAAGATGGTTGCTTCAGGGAGACATTTAACAACTAGAGTCACTGAATAGATAACAATGACAAAGAACCCCAACATAATCCACAATTTTTTTTTTTAAAAGGAACATAATCCACAAATAAAGAGTGATTAAATTGAGGTAGACGATAAAATCATTGCACTAGATAGTAGCAGTATCCAACTATTTCAACAATGCACATCATGTAAGTACAAATCTCACGTCATGATTCCAGATTGCATATAACATTACTTACTATTCACCTTCCAAGGATGTAGCTGGCCAAAGGCTCCATCACTTGTCCCTTTGAGACTGTTTTTCAGTCAAGCCATCAGACACAGCATCATTCCAAAAGAAGTAGGAATTTTCTGATCTAAGCACACTGAACTAATTCCAAAGTAATTTTTAACAAAGATCATCCATCCAAGAAGAACCTTATCCTGCCAGTTTGGTTGGCAGAGCTTCACACAGTGACGTTGTTAAATAAGGTTTCAGGTGCTTATTTCAAGGTGGTGCCAAGCAATGACCACTCCTTTTTCATGCAGGAATATGTATGTTCCTTAATTACAGTTCCACCTTATGATGTAGCAGTTCGCATCCACTAGGAAACCTTTTAGGTGAATGAGGTGTTACAAAATGAATATTTGATCAGATAAGTTCCAATCATGGGATTAATATACTTATGTTATTCTTTAATTTCAATTTCCCCAATCCAACGTAACTCAATTACATTATCAGCCATATGAACTGATAAAATTAAGGCATATTCAAAATTAGACAGTGGATCCCATTCCTCCAACCAATTATCGAAATAACTGACATGAAAGGATGATACCATCTTTGAACTCCCGTTCTGACCTCCAACATTAGGAGAGACTACCACACAATAAATGTTTACAAATATTAAAACTATTCAGCTCAGAATGACCTCTTTATTCCCAGTTGATACAACTCGCATGACTTTTAGGAGCCATCTGCCGTTGCCGACATGCACACATCAACAATTTTAGCATTCAACACTTACCCACTTTGAAAATCATACATCTAAAAGAAGAAACATGGTATTCAGAAAAGATACAGAAAACCCTATATAACAACCAACTATAGCAGGAAAACTTTGAAAAAAGTTTGCACATAATGCCAAATCAATACAAAAGGGTGACTCACCTTTTTCTTAACAATTTTGATCATATCTTGCAGAATAGTCCTCTCAGCAATTTGAGAATGCACATAATCACCACAGTTCTTCACCATGGTCTCCAGGAGCTAATTAACATACAGGGCAATTAATTAGTGGACAGCTAGGAAAAATTCTAAAACAACCTCCAATCTAGCATTACCTCAAAGCATGAGATACTGATACAGAAAATTCTCTACGATAACAAAATATTTTAATCCCAGGTACGGCCAATTTGTAAATTTCATGGTTTAAATCTTCCAAACAAAAAAAAAACATTGTGCTACAGGTTCCAAGGAAAAGTACCGTCAAGGCAAGTAGTTGAACTTTAGGGTTTTTATGCTGCAACCTTTTCTTCAGAGCTTTGACAATATCTTTTGCTAGCCTGAGCAATTTAGCAAACGCATGATCGTTAACAATTTATCAAATTATATCCTATTCTACAAACATATTACAGAAAATAAAATCCAAACAAATAGTAAAAGAAATATAATCAAATGGATATTAACAATCAATTAAAAGCCTGCAGAAAATATCAACACCTGCACACACATAACTCCCCCGCCGGCCGCTGCAGGGGAGTTATGTATCTGAACCCTAAAATTCTCAAGCGGAAACCGTTTATTTTTCTTGTTTGTCGGGAAATCTATTGTCTTTACAAAAAAAATAAAGGAAAAAAATTCAAGGATTGGATTCTGAATTCTTGTAAAGACAATAGAATTCCTGACAAACAAGCAAATAATACATCAAAAAAAAAAAAATGAGACCAACCATGTGGCTTACAACTTCGTAGCACAGTCAAGATGAGGACTTTCAAAATTCTATAACCCAAACGACAAATTTTCAAGAATTTGTCATGTTTTCTTTGTTTTCCTAAGAGAGCAAAAACGAAAACACATCATCGGATTAGAGCTTTTGCATCATAAACCCAGTAAAAACTGTAAATTAGGTAAAAGAAAATTCAACCCCTTTTCCTCCCTTCATACATACCCCATCCGAAATCAACCCATCTCATATCAAACAAAAGCACAGACACATACACAGACATATATACGTTAATAACAAATTTTAGCATGTAAAACAGAAACTTAAAATCAAACCCAGAGAGAAAAAGTCAACTTTTTACGAAAACAAAAAGGTCTATGAGTTTTTAGGTTGGTACCAATGATTGGTATTGATGGTATCACAGATATCGATGTTCATAGTCCAATCTGGCCCGATCAAAAATTCGCTTGTCGCCTTCTCCACTCGTACAGTGGCTGAAGAAGACGATGAAGAAGAAGAAGACGACGGCATCATCATCATCTTTCTCTAAAGTCTCTACAAGTTTCTAGAAAGCAAGGACAAAGAAAAACAACAAATAACAGAAACTTTGTTCGTACAAGAGGGAGGTAGATGTATAAAGAAGAAACTATGGTGCGGAGAGTCTGAGAAATTTGGTAGTTTCCCGAGAAAATACGTAGGGAGAGATCTTTCCGAGAAAACCCAAGAAAAATTGTGCGACTTTTTGTTGTTACTCGATACTTTCTAGTTTCTAGTTTCTTGGCTTCTTGTTTTTTATTTTTATTTTTTTTCTTTCACTTTTTTATGGTTTTTGTCTTTCCGGTCCGTTTTCTTTTCTCATTCTCGTTCGATACTAACAATTTCCAATTTTGGAATGCTCTCAAAGCCTTTAGAACGCGCTTAGAGTTACTCACCGAGTCAACCCAATCACAGTGAGTTGCCTGGGCTCAATTATAGCCGATCTTTTTTAATACAAAACTTGTGCAAAAGATTTCATAGATGGATCACGAAAAATAACTCAAAATAGAAAATGCATTAAACAAGAAAAGGCAAGAATGCTGATTCTAATATTTTTTATTTGATTAGAAAAAAAAATAATTAGAAAGTGTAATTAATAAAATTCACTAAATATTTAATAATAATGATTCATTAAATCAAATTTTTAAGTTAATTTTTTTTAATTTATTTAATATTTTTTAAATTTTAGTCATATCAAACCGATAGAATATGCCATATTTAATGGAGAAGATTATGAGTGACATCAATGGTATTATAATTAATTAATGTTAAATTTTGTAAAACAATATATGTAATTATCAGGTTAAATGCAGCAGAGAGAGGCTGTGACCTGTGAACGGTGATAGAAGAACCAAAGTCATAGGATTGGATTGGACCGGTCCTTTTCCAGCCGGCTTTTGTCTATTTTTATGTGTTGGTGTGTTCAAATGGCCCAACATTTTCATGAAATTACGGAAATACCGATCTCGTTCTTATCGTGGAGAATCAAGAATGGTTATGAGGATAGTGAATTCTGCTTTGTTGACCGCCGGATTGAGATTAAATAAACTTTTGATATTTTTTAGGGTTAATGTCACTTTGCAAGTTTAAAGATGTTTTAATTTTCAATTTGAACCCATAAATATTAAAAAATTTAATTTGTACCCTCAATATGATGAATTAGTAGCAATGTGAACCTTAAGTATGTGAGTTACAAGTGCCTCGGTTATAGACTTATGTATAAATTCACAGACTGTTGACGTTTCATGTGAGTTGCAAATGATAAATTTAGACTCTATTTGATTAAAGAAATCTTATTTTTGATACATAAAATAATGTCAAATTGATCGCAGATGAAGATCTGCATCGATAGACACACACACACACACTCATGTCCAAAGCACTTGCAAACTCATGTGTTTAATTTATGACAGAAAATTAAACAACAGTCTAAACGAGATACACATTATTACTAATTCATAACATTGAAAGTGCAATTTAAAATTTTTAATGTTTAAAGATGCAAATTGAAAATCAAAGTATCTTTTGGGGTGCAAAGTGAGGTAAGTCCTATTTTTTATGTATGTTGTTGTTATTGTAATTAAAAATTAATTATTACAATTTTTGAAAAATGTAATTATAATAAAAAATCTACAAAAAGATTAAAAAGAAATTAAAAAGTGCACAATATAACTCTTAAAGTCACGACCACTCTACTGAGTTCCACACTAATAAGGAGAATAGGAGATTAGATTGGTCGTCTCGTAGGTAAGAATTCGAATTTTTTCGATCAATGCTTGAGTTCAAGTTTTCATAGTTATGGTAATTCGTTAGGGTTAAACCTACTCTTCAACATTCAAAATAAGTAGTGAGACCTTAATTTCGGCCTCAACGTAGGTGCGGTAAGGTACCCTATAGATAGTTGTGTAGTACCGAAGGACAATGCTCCTTTGCAAATAAGTGAAGTGACCTATCTAGATATCTATCTAATGTAACCAAAAAAAAAAGATTATATTTCATAGAGTTCAATTCTCATTCTTTAACTCATGACGATTATGATTTATCAAATAATTTTACTCAAATAAGTGCTTGAATCAATCAAAGGATTGAACAGAATTTCAACAATTGAAGTTTTGTTTTTGCAAAAGTTAATCTCTAGATCTCTTAATAGACAGGTTTTTTTTATGAAAAATCAAGGTTGTGACTAATCAATGTTTTTTCTCGGCTGGAACTGGTGGAGAGAGCTTTCTTCTTGTCAGGTTGCTTGTATTGCCCAATTTACGTTGCTTGTGTTAGTGAACAAATCTATAAACAGGTCCTCCAAAGGTGTACGGGTCATCTAGCTAAGAAAATATAAAAAACAAAACAAAATAAAATTGATCAAGAGGAGATATTTTTTTTAACTTCAACGATGAGGTTTGTTCGGATCAGCTCACGCATACGTAGGCTAATTTTTTCTCTAATCCAATCAAAGGTATGTCATTCATATCAGAATTAAGATATTAATAAAATTACTAATATTTAAACTCAAAATATTTAAATTTATAGTTCGTTCATATTTTTATTTGTTCTTAGATTTATGAAAAGGACTTTGATTTGATACCAATATGATATTCTTGATGCTCAAGTTAGTAGAGTAAACTACAACTAATCTAAAGAATGTTAATGGTATAATATAGAGTTGACAAGAGATTTGTCTGACAATTGCAATTTTGAGAGCGAAGCAACCTCTATGATTAGTGAGAAAATTAAGTATGAGAATCTTGAGGAGGAAGAAATCCTTTCAAACTATTGGAGCACATCGGTGGTGCTGCCGGTCATAGTCAACTGAAGATGTCAATCTTGAGGGGCGGGTCATTCAGTCAAATAGCTTCAACAATGATTGTTAGTATCCACAAATACTATTCTTTTCCGAGAAGTTTCATTTCTTAAGATTGAGATTCGAAAGATTAATATATTTTTTTAATTTTTTGACGAATCATGTATTAAAGTTTGAGACCTATTATATATAAATAATCTTCTTACTAATTAACGATGGATGATTTGACAAGAAGTGAATTGAACAAAAAAATATATTTGAGAATCTTGATAAAAGAAAAATTCACCCACACCTGTAGTAGATTGACTTATCTTCCACGACACCCCTTATATTATCTTAAATTAAATTGACATCTATTCTACCCTTTTACCCCTAGATTTTTCCTCAAAATTTACATGGTAACCAATTATTTGGAATTATGTTTTATATATATATATATATATATATATATATATTAGTTATTGTCCGGGTCTGAAGGCACAGAGTAATAAAAAATGATAAACAATAAACATATTTGTATTCATATTTAAAATCAAATCATAAACATAGGGGAAAGATAAATGAATTTAAGTATCAATTGTAATGGAATTGAGAGGTGGTGACCGACAGTGGTGGTGGTAGGAGAAGGTGATGGTTGTGGTGGGTGGCAATGGCGGAGGTGGTGATTGCGATGGTGACGACGACGATTGTGGTGGGTGTGATGGTGGTAATGGTAGTGGTGGTGGTGGTGGTGGTGGGAATGGTGGTGGTGGGGTGGTGGCGACGATGATGGTGGTAGTAGTGGTAGCCGCGGTGGTGGTGGCGACAGCAGCTGAGGTAATGGCGGTGGCGGTGGCGATGGTGGTGGCAGAGGTGGTGGTAAAGATAGTGGTGGGACAATTTCAAATACTATTTTTTTTAAAGTACTTATCCTACAAGTACTTTTAAAAAATCACTCCAAACACATCTTTAGAAACTTATTTTTCTTATTAAATTTATGGTGTTAATATTAGCCGTTAGATTAACTTTAAAATAAAATTTAAAGTAATCTGAACCGCGAAAGCAAAAATAATTTTGTTTATCTTTTGAATTGTAAGCTACTTTATATATATATATGTGTGTGTGTGTGTGTGTGTGTATTTATATCATGAACTACATTACTCCACCCTTGCACCCTGTCCATCTCAGCCCCCTCAATGTTTAGCCCGTACTTACTACCTATTTCTCTCTCTCTCTATCTCTCCCCCCTCAACACGATCCATGATTTCTTCGTTAAAGTAGAAAATGAGAAAAATTGTTGGTGTCCATGGTGTCCGTGCATCACTAAAAGCAGAGTGTTAATTTGGTTATCTTATAAGGGATATTAGAACGACTAGATGGTTGTGTTTGGTAATTGTGGCAGAAGTGTTGTATGAAGGTGCAATCAATGATTTATGATATCCTCATTTTCAGAGAATCAATTGTCGCGCTCTCTCTCTCTCTCTCTCATTAATTTTATTGCACAATTCCTGACTAGATAGTTGGGTGAAGTTGTCCAATGCTTGGATGATCGTGGCTGTCTATTAAATGGTTGTCTGTAGAGAAACATTTGATTTTGTTGCAAATGGTCCTTAGGTATAGATAAATTTGACTCTATTGTAAAATTGGAATTAATTGATAAGCGTTAGCTCCCTAACTCATTGACACAACTATGGCATATGGGTGAATCGCTCAATGACACCTCGCACCTTAGCCAAGGTGGGGATGTGCTTGGCTAAGCACTCCCGTGTTGCAAAGATGGCACCCTATGGGATCAATGATCGGTGGGATTCGTTGCAGATGAAAACCTTATGAATGATTGAGGAAGACAACACATGTATGAGCACTTTGGGCACAAGCAAACAAGAAAAATATAGTTTTGTGACCTTCTATTGAGGTGCATTGCATCTTGGAAGACCAAGCCATAGGTTGGACATGACTTGGCACATTGAAAAAAGAAATCAGATGTTGTGGACTAGCAAGTATGGCATGTGCTGATCATGTGTGGGTGGTTTTGAGTAGTTGCTAGCTGAATCATGTGACAATTACGAAGGCGTAATTGCTCTATCCATGCTAGAGTCTTCTGATTGGTTCAACAACATTGTGGAGGTTTGACAAAATAACCCAGATCCTTGGAGAAAAATCTGATTCGTGCTAATAATCCTAGCAGTTGGGGGATGCCAACTACATGACTAGTTTGGCGAAAGTTGGTTGGTGCCAACATTGCCTAAGTAGTTAAGTTGTAACCGCCATGTATTGTTTAATATAAGCATTCTAGGGCCTATAATAACCCAAGAGAGATTGTGCACGTTGTTGTAACAGACCTTTAGTTGGACTCCTTTGTGCTGATTGAGAAGTAAAAGGTTGGGACAATGTCCAGTAATCTTGTGTGTGCTTGTTGTGTATTTGATTCTTGTCCATTACCTGTTCAAAATATTGTTTTTATGAGCCTCTCATGTGCATTTGACTGAGACCAAGTG